GCCGTTCCTTCTCACTGTATTTTCCATTTTCCAACTGTACATAAATGACTGCGTTGATACACGAGGATCCTGTGAACTTCCACAATGACATTGTTATCTAATAACCCAGCATTATCACATTGACTCAGTTCGTGCAGTTACTGATAGGCTTTTACAAACCCCAAAGTGTCTCGATTCTCCGCTAAAGTTTCACATTTACCCTCAAGTATTTGTTCCACCACCATAGGGTCGACCTTTCCCAAACCTTCTTGAGTCATAGATCGACAGACGTAACGCTCCAACAGTTTTGATGTCCCTGTGGCTTGGGATCAATTGTTTGTCGTTTTAGAAAGTTGTCCAAACCCTCCATTTCAACTTTTACTTTACAGCTCTTCACGTCACTCTGTCTGTACTTAACCCTCCAGATCAAACTTGGTTAACAATAACATAAGTGGACATTAGCTATGCAAATGACGTGCTTTGGGGTTAAAGCTAAGTGTATGTATACATGACGAAGACAATAGATGAATTGCTCATGAATTGCACAGAATTGAGTGACACATCCGGGAAATTAGCGAATAAATTACTAGATTCCAGTTTCCCAATATCAGTTTTCCTTTCACGGCCGTTTATATTTATAAGGCAAAGTTACAATATTGAAAGTTTAAGCACTTCGTGAAGAAAATCGAAAGTTAATGCACGAAAAATGAAATGGAAATATTAAAGAATGACAACCACACAATATAAGCTTATCATTTATTTTGGTGATTCAATTTGCCATAATGCGATGTTTTGTGGGTCAATTTCAGTTTTCGTAGTGTTTATATGTATGGAAATTTATCATTCCTGCACTTTGTTCGGGTCCTGCTTTTCGTCGTGAAGAAAATCATTCAAAGTAACAACTGAAACTGGTTGCCCCACCATTGCTTAACTGCTTCCAAAATCCAGCTTAAGGTATTAGGATACATCTACGACCACTATGCGCGCAAACTTAAATAACACGCTGGCTTTATAATGGTAATTGAACTGAGTGGAGTGCAATTTGGTCTGAAATCAAACGCGCGATTTGTAATTGCAAGTTTGATTTCAGACCAAAATTGCACGACACGAAGTTCAATTACCACTTTATTATATCCATTTTGAAATTTTTTTTGAAAAAGACGTTTAAACCGACATGACTTGCGATCTACAAGCAGTTGATTCAAACATGCTGTCAAGAGAACTTGTTTATACTGATCGAGCAATGATTCTCATTTTGAAAATCAACACTTTCAATCCAAAACTAAAATAAATTTATAGAGGACCAAAAGGCATTACATGTATTAAGCATCATTTACTTACATTAAATAGCAAGGCAATCCTGCCCAAAAGGGTTGTAATGAACTGACTGTTGTCCATACAGCCAATGCTCACTGCTTGTATTTTACGATTTCTGTTCAACATGTTAAGATCACACTTTGTGCCGAGAAAACAGCAAAAATCAAAGGTTGTTTWGTCCTTCGGTTGTCCTTAAGAAGTCACGTAGCTCAGCAATAATCTTCTTCTTAAGAAAAACGTTTTTAAATGACTGCATTGCGGATGTGTTTTATGCTTTAAAGATTGAAAATGAAACCACTTTCCACGATCAATCGCCAAGAAGTCACATTCAAAAGATACCGATTGCATTTTCCCCCACTGCTTTTCGCTGTAATATCTTCAACTCACTTAAGCAGTTACTTTACAAAGATGCTTTTGGCAATTTTAAGTACTCAGTTGGTCTTTTTAAGTCCTTTTTACGGCTTTTTAAGTCTTTTTTTTTTACGACTTTTTACGTTAAAATCGTTCTTCAGAAATTTTTTTTTGAGCCATGGCTGTTTTTTTCGCAAGAAGCGGCGAGCTCAACACTCAAATGGATTCCTTAATATAATTGGCTAGAAAATGACATGTCTCTCTCTCTCTTTAGAGCTCAAAATCGCGCAATTTATGCTGAAATCACTACTGCAGGGAACCAATCAGATTGCAGAATTTGCTTGTGATTTCAAAATGGATATAATAAATAGTATAACACAAACAATGTATACATTTTCTGAAAGCTGAGTAAATATAGTTTATGAAGAAATTTTCAAAATACGATTTTTTTGTTGTTGTTGTTCACATTATTGTCCTCGAAGCGAAATTTGACCATGCCTCAGTGAAAACGTTAACGGACACGTACATTTTAAGCCATGTTTGCGAAAAATGGTTTAACATACTCAGGAGATAGTAAGCTCAAAAAGGGTGTCCCAGATTTTTGATATCTGTTTTATATCTCTCGCTATTTTTGATCAAAGTTCAGCGATCGCTTTTGGAGTGTTGTTTAGAGTAAAAAGCGTCATAACTTTGGAAAGAAATTAAATTTCAAAAATCGGAGACACCCTTTTTTGGATCATGAGTTACTTTATAAACTCTCCAAATTTCGAAAATCGAATGAAATCCAAGGGACTTTTAGCTTTTTGAAGTTGAGGTTTTAGCGGCAAAAAAGATTCGAGAAAAACACATTTCTTTGTTTGGAGCCGGAAGCTGCAGGGAGCCACGATGGTGTTGGCCAAAACACCTTGAGCCTTCCATTTTGTCATCACTTGTCAAATTATCTGGTGTTCTGAACGATCGCAATGTAGGATCTTTTTACAATGACAAAGGAGCATGACAGATGTGCATATATTAAGCGACGGTACATTTCCGGTCTTTATAAAGTCACTATTACGATTTTTCCCAAAATTTTGGCTTTTCCAATCAAAAATTGCAAGAAGTTTCACAAACATATGAAAGATAAAAGTTGAAAATTACGAAATTAATAAATTCGCTATTTTTCGTATCCTAATACCTTAAGCTTAAAGCAAGTAGCGATTTTTCAGGAGTTTTAACTTTGACCCAACAAAGCAAAACCGCCCAAAATGACGACATTCCAGTGCTTTTTTTTGATAAGAAATTATCCTTCTACCGCCATTTGTATAGCCATAGAAACCTTGCCTCTATATTGCTCAATATTCATAATTTCGCCTCCAGATCTCGCTTTAAAACGGACAAATTTGCTCACAAACTCAGCATATATTTTGGTACTGTTCGAGAAGCTGTCCGAGTGGAGACTGGTACCTAATTTGGAGAAAATGCCCGCGAATTTTGCTTTAAAAAATATTTTAATCGTTTTTTCCAATTTTTTCAAATCCTTTTAATAGTATAAAGATATTATAATGTTTCTTTAAAAAAATGCCTCCCCATTCTTCACAAAACCTCTTATTTGGAAATGACCAGAGTTGATGGGCAATTTGTGCGATGTTCTTTTTGAGCGTAAACTTGCTAAAGGGGAAGAGGTGCTGTGTCTGAATCATATTCAAAGTCTTCGTTTTCTTCCATTTAAATATTATAGCGGATACGACGAATCTGATGATCACACTTCTCTATTTGCCTTGCGAAGTCGTAATAGCAAAATGACTTGAGCGTTGTAGCATAACGAAAACATTCTTTTTCATCTTGTAGCTTGGTTGCGTGTTCGAAAATGTGATATCGCATCTCTACCAATGCCGTTGTATTTCAAGAATACCAAGTGCTTTTTTCAAAGAAGCCAAATACTGCAACTCATGTTCCTTGCTTGCTTGGTTGAGTAATATATGTTTTTTGTTTAATAGTATCCATTTTCATCTAAAGATTTTAATGAGGATTTTGGTGAACATGGTTCATTATTATTCATAGAAAAGAAAACTAAGCTCCGCCTCCTCACTGCCTCAAGTGATCCATATGTACATTTTCGCTAAAGAGCCAGTAGAATCATAAGTGCTATTTGGATTCTTTTGTTTATAGTTTCTTTGCAACGAGTAAACTATAAGATGCCATATTGGAGTATGAGTTTACTCTTAGTAGATCTATGAATCACTAGAATCATGAGTGTTGTTTGGATTGTTTATAGTTTCTTGGCAACGAATAAACTATGAGATGCCATATTGGAGTATGAGTTTACTCTTAGTGGATCTATGAATCACTAGAATCATGAGTGTTGTTTGGATTGTTTATAATTTCTTGGCAACGAATAAACTATGAGATGCCGTATTGGAGTGTGAGTTTACTCTTAGTAGATCTATGAATCACTAGAATCATGAGTGTTGTTTGGATTGCTTATAGTTAGTTTCTTGGCAACGAATAAACTATGAGATGCCGCCGGTATTCGAGTGTGAGTTTACTCTTACTAGAATCATGAGTGTTGTTTGGATTCATTTGTTTATAGTTTCTTGGCAACGAGTAAACTATAAGATGCCGTATTCGAGTATGTGTCTACTTTTAGTAGATCTATGAATCACTAGAAATATGAATGCTGTTTGGGTTCATTTGTTTATAGTTTCTTGGCAACGAGTAAACTATAAGATGCCGTATTTGAGTATGAGTCTAATCTTATAGATTACTASATAGTATGAATCACTAGAATCATGAGTGTTGTTTGGATTGTTTATAGTTTCTTGGCAACGAGTAAACTATAAGGTGCCGTATTTGATACGTATTCGTATTAAGATACACTATGCCGTAAAAGTACAAGAATCTTGTCAATCATGAGATGATTGACAAGATACTAAATATTCTGTTTGAGTCATATGCAGTTCACGTGACGGCAATAACCAATAACAATGCGCCATTGCGATGCTTTTGTTTCAGCGCGCCTAATTTGAATGTCCCTTAAACATTAGGCATTCTGCGCCGTGGTCCTGTAAAATGACAGCCACAATGGCTGATTTCATCACGTGACCTCTTAGTGCAAGTCACCTATTACGCGCTCAACACAGCCCAAGTCGTCTTGGATTTGGCTACCGTGAATCAAAAATAATTATAATATTGTGACGGAAACCAAAATTCGAGGTCGCTAGTCGTCTGGGTCGTGTCGGTAGCCGTTCCCTAACTATGTCGTGTGTCATTTCCATTGCATCGTACCCTGTTTTGTGTATCATGAATTTCCACCCTCGTACGGAATCTGCTTCATCTGGTCTGGCCTGAGTAATATTCAGTACCAATAAACTTACTGTCAACGTTCGTGCAGTGGCTCCAAGTGCCTTGTGAGCATTTTTAGCTACAGCCATAGCATCTCTGTTCCTGTCTGCTGTCATGTAACACTCTACTAAACCTGCGGTATGGTAAGGTAGAAATAAATAAATAGAATAAAATAAAATAATAAAAA